AAAAAAAAAAAAAAAAAAAAAAAAAAAAAAAAAAAAAAAAAAAGTATTGCCAATCAGTGCCGGGGGGGCAGGGAAGAAATCTTACAATACTTTATATTCGCCACTCATTTTGGATTTCATTAGTGGGAAAACTCACTTCTCAGCCAGTTATAACTTCTTTCTTTTTATTTTTCCTTTTTCTTTCTTTCTTTCTTTCTTTTTCTTTCTTTCCTTCCTTCTTTCTTTCCTTCCTTCTTTCTTTCCTTCTTTCCCTCCTTCAGGGGCTGCTGGAAGCGGGACCTGGGGCCCGTGCCATCTCCCTCGCCAGGGCCGGGCAGCTCCGCGCCGGGGCTCGGCAGCCCCGGGAATGGAGCGAGGGGCTGATGGTGGGTCTCCCCAGGAGAGAGTTTATTCATAATTCATAGTAGCAGAGCAGCCTGCACTCGGGAGACGGGGAGAAAGAAGCGGCCAAAGAGACCAAAGTGTCTCCAGCAATTGCGGGGGGGCGGGGGATGGAAGGTGCAGGGGGTGTTACCGGGGGTGCCCGGGCAGGGGCGGCGGGGCCGGCGGCCACCCCGGGGAGGGGACGCGCCGGTCCCCCTAACCCGTGGAGAAAGTTATTATTGGCCAAACTCTTCGAAAGGGACTCCGGGGAATTTGGGGGTAGCTTGGCTTTTTCAAGAACCGTTTTTCAGAAGCATTTGCAAGCGAAAGAAACCGAGCCGAGGGGTTTAGATTCAGGTATTTGATCTCGCCGGACCCAGACATCTAATTAGAGTGGCCTCAGCGATTGAAACGGTGTTAATTCCCATTGTTCCCCGCTCAGATCCCTTGGCCCTCCACCGCTGGGATTCTCTCCTTTTCAAAATCCCAAATAAAAATCTTTCTACTTGAAACAAACAAGCAAACAATTTCTGTATTTCCCCCCTTTCTGGCCCATTTTCCTCCATCGCGAGCAAAAGCAAACACTCCTGGGTATTTTTTCGCAGACGCTGGCAAAGAATCACACCCCCTCTGTGGGATCTTAACAGAAATAAATCACAAGGAGCTCTTGCCTACCTGAAAAGTAGGAGGAAATCCGAGTGTCTGGTTTCGGGTGTAAAGTGTGTATCGATAAACACAGCCGTCTCAGAAACGGGACCCAATTAATCTATGGGTTTCTTTACATCACCCCCCGTTCGGATGTGTGCTTTGGAAATATTGATTCATTGCGATAGGAAAGTCGCAACTACTGTGTGTGCATAACATGGGGAGGACATGGAGCGAGAACCCGCAGCAACGCAAAGCCCACTCGCGGGAGAGCCAGATTGCTTTTTAAGCTAAAACTAATAATTTCATAACTGATTCACATTCAATCTGGCGCCGATGACGTCACGGGGCATTAGCATACGAGGAGGGATGAAGCCAGTGTGGCTGGAGTTGATAAGGTGCCTCCTGAGGAATTCGCTGCTTGTTTTAATACATTAATTATTTCTCTGTCTTCCTCAACTTTTGCAATTTGTAAGGGCTTAAAGGAACCATCATTCCCAGCGATGGCAGAAGGACACGTTGGAGAGCTTCTCCCGCGGCACCCGCCCCAGAGCCTGGCAGCCGAGGGCAACGTGGGGATGAGCCCCAGTCCCGCTCCCGGAGCCCCGGCCCGGCCGCCCTGCAGAGCGCTGCGGGATTTGGTTCTAATTAAGCCGGTCCCGGCCCCGGCCCCGGGCGTCCCTATTCGCCCGAGTAAGCTCGGCTCGCTCGGACGGGCCTCCCCAGCGCCAGGAGCTTCCTGCAGGAGGGGAGGCGAGTTTGCAGGATCAGGCCCTCAGCCTGGGGTGTGTGTGAGCTGTGAGTGTGCATGAGTGAGTGCGAGTGTGTCGGTGTGTCAAGACACCCCCGCGGAGCCTTCCTACGGGAAAGCCTCTGCAGAGGCCTGTTTCTTTCCAGAACCCGGTGGGATTCCCTCCCTCTACCCTCTCTCCACCCCCCTCCCTCTCCCGTTAATCACGACCTTCTGCAAAAAAAAGGACCCACATTACGTCATCAGCCCTAACTGCTGCGGAGATGATGGGGTCACCAAGGACCCGGGGCGGGGGAACCCGCGGGGGCCGGGCCTCCCCTCCCGCTCTCCCGGGGCAGCGGAGCCTGCCCGGGAGCGGGGGCACGTCCCAGCCGGGGGCCAGAGCAGCCCTGTGCCCGCTGCTGGGCTCCGGACAGAGGAGCCGAGAGGAAAGAGCTCAGCTCCTGCGCTGGGGCTGACAGGTCGCCCCCGAAGTCCCGCTGCCCCCAGAGCTTCTAGGAACGGCAGGCATCGCCGTTTTGGCCCCATCGAGCTCCGCCGGGCCCTGCGGAAGGAGTCTGACAGTCCCCGGCCCGGCAGGGTGCCCCTTGGGGACCCTCCCGAGTCTCGGGCTATCTCGCTTCTCTGAAGAAGCCAACTGCCTTGGAATACCCGCTGGGTGACTTGAGTCTGAAACACACTTGGAGGGAAGGAAGGAGGGAGGGAAAGGCGTTTTTCTCGGGGAGGGAGGGACGGGGAGCAAAACAGAAACAAAACACATAGAAACCCTAATATAATTAAATTTAAAAAAGGATAAATTAAAACAAAACAAAAAAAAACCCCACGCTGCACAAGCTCTCGCCCATATGGCAAAGGTCCTGAGAGGCAGGGGCCAGAGACAGACTCCTGCAGAAACTTCTCCGTCCCGGCCCGGCTGCGTTCCCCGCGGCCGCCTCCGGACAGGACTCCCGTCCACGGGCTCCCCCCGCACTCCTGCCCACAGGTCTCCAGCTGCTCCCCTGGGAGAGCCGGGCCGCGTGGACGGACCTTCCGTGCGGTGCCGTGCGGGTCTGGGCCCGGCCCTCCTCCAACACTGCTAAATTATAATGAAAAATTACAGCTCGTTCCGGCGCGCCCCCTCCCCCTGCACGCACAGGCGCACACGGACACAAACACACGCACACACAGTCACACACGGTCACACTCACACACAGTCACTCTCATACGCGGCTCAGCCGCAGCAAACCCGCTGCGAACTCCAAAGCAAAGCTCCAAAACCATCCCGCGAGGTTCGGGGTTTCGCTTTGTTCCCTCCTCCCCGCACCGCCCGCCCGCCCGCACCTGCCGGCGCGGAAGCTCCGCCGGGCCCGGAGCGGCGCGGCCCCGGTGCCCGAGCAGAGCCGGCCGGGCCGTCCCGGAGAACGGAGCTCGCCCTCCCGCTCTCGCACAGCCAAACGTGCAGCTCCGAGAATTTCCGCCCCTTGGGCTCCTTTTCTTTTCAATTCGCAAGTGAACCAGCCCCCACACTCACTGCAGCGCTGTGCGTCCTCGCCAAGTGGATTGGTTCCTCAAAAGCAAAACAGTACCAAACTTCTCGCAATTCCCCGTGCCATCGTCAGAAAAACTGGTTTTAATTACCAAAACTCAAATAGCGGCGGTGCTAACTAGCAGGCGATCAAACCGCAATCAAACTTCAATCTCTGAGCAGTTAGCTATAAACTGTCAGCAATTGAAAAGTAAACCTGGTGCACACAAAGGCTCTGTTTAATTTTCTTGTTGTAATGGCTCTAAATGAGGACCCCATCACTATGCAGTTAAGCGGTGTTGCTTGTCCCCCTGAGGCGCTGATCAGTTCTTTTTAATGTGAGAAAACTGGCAGCTCGAAGCCCGTCAATGGAGCTCCCACAACAAAAGTCCTGAAAAGCTGAATGAATTGGGTTTGTAATTACTGCTTCCCTCTCCCCCCTTGCAGCTTATCTCTTATTCATTCAACATATATTATTGTCACCTAATCGCACACTCCCAACATTATTTTGGTTTTTTGGGGGGGTTTTTTTGGTTGCTTTTTTTTTTTTTTTGGTATCTACTACTGCGGACATGTTTGTTGTAGAAATTAAACAAAATAATCCTCCCTTCTCTCTCCTCCCCTCAACAAGAAAAATATTGAAACGACAGTGTCAGGCGAGGCTGGCTGGCACTAAAAACGCAAAGACGAAGCTCTCCTGCCATCTGAATGTCTGCATTGTTGCATATATCCTCAGAAATCTCACAAGCACCGAAGCAGGTTTTACATTTTAGTATTTGAGTTAGATCAGGATTTAAATAAGTGAAGTGTATCTAATCACACCTATCAGTAATGGGCCTCTTTCTTTCAGTGGGACCTGCATTATATACTACTTAAATTGCTGGGCTATCTACCTCCAATTCGGAGGCAGATATACATGCCTGCTGCCCGTTGGGGACGAGGAGGAATTAATATGGAGACAGAACACGCTGCTTCGGGGATCACCGCCACTCCTGATGTCCCACACGGCACGGATGGGCATCTCAAGGAATCAAAATGTATTTTCGATCAAGAAATGTCTGACGGCAACCGGCAGCCGCTCGCCCGCCCGCGGGCTGGAGCCGGGGCTGCGACGCAGAGCCTCTCCCCAGGTCCCCCACCGCAAGAAGCTGTCGGTTGCAGAAATAAGTACAGCTATTACAACCAAATCTACTAACAGTCTAAATAATTAATTGAACCATTGCTCTTTGACCCTTAGAAAGTCCAGTAGGGACCCGTTTGTAGTAATAATACCCCCGAATGAGCCCTTGTCAAATATTCATTTAGTGGTTAATGTGAGCGATTTCCCCCTGGGACAGTCTGTAATACCAGCTTCCCAGCTTTGGCAAGAAACCCTGCTAATCTACCTCTCCAGTTCCGCAAAATATTTTAACACCCCAGTACTTAAAAAGCCGTAAAAAAATCACAGGGGAAACTATAATCTTATCCTTGGGTTCATTTTGGCTCTGTAGAAGGTTAGGGAAACATTACACTGGTGCTCTTGGGCCGAGCATCACCCTGGCTATAAAGAAGACAACAATTCACGAAAGGGAAACCACGGAGAGCCCTAAAGGTCTTCAATAACCAAAATAAAAACATACCCACGAGCTCTGCTACACATTTCAGCTGCCATAAACAAAAGCCCAGGATAATGGCTTAGGTGTAAATGGCTTTTATTGAATGTGTTGAATTTAAAATAAGCAGTGGACAATGGCGTTCCTCCAAGTAACACTTTAAAAATAAAACCGTTCAGCTGTACGTGTAAAATGCTTTGGGTTATCCTCTCTAAACGGATAAATGGATGGATGGATGGATGGATGGATGGATGGATGGATGGATGTAAGGAATCTGTCCAAGGGATATCAGGTTTCAATCACATATATTCTGCATCGTACTCCGAAATATAAGCTTAAACAAATTGCCCATATAAAAAGTTGCTGAATTCACTAAGCCTGAATATGTGGCTTAGTGCCTTTTGTTTAATGGTATTAGCTCGCCTTCTCTATGCGAATTGTAAAAGGACCAACATTTCCAAATACCCCCCTCGAATATTTTAGTTAGCACTTCAAAAAGGGGACAGGTTTTATTGCTGTTAATTGGCTAAGATTCGCTTTTAAAAATGGAATCGTGATATCGATTGGGCTTTTATTCCTGGTTCTCTTTTCTCAGCAAGGCGAGCGGGAGTGGGGATGTGGGCTCGTTATCACGTGAATAATCCCCAGACGCATTGCAAACGCTCACAGCTCTGAAAAAGAATATTGTACTCATTGCATTAACGTGAAATACATAGAAATGGTTGAGAATCTGCAAAAAATGTTGTTCTGCTCAAGTACCGCGACGGTGCAGAAGTAAAAGGGACAAAGGGAGCTAAACACAAAACCAGGCAGTGAGCAAATCTCCACATCTCCTAGTCTGTCAATGTTAGTTTTCATCTGGATACCAGACTTCAAGGATGGAGGCCAGAACTGAGCCTAAGAAATTGCACTACCAAATAAATGCCACAACCAGACAGGTAACTTTTGTGTGTGTGTGTGTGTGTGTGTGCGCGCGCGCTTTTTTTACCCAGCCTTCTTTCTCCCCAAACTAAAGAGAAATCCTATAACTAACAAGAAATACTAGAGAGAAAAGCTGAGCAACACTTGCCCCATTCTGGAGTGCCTACTTTGTGCCTTGCCATCAACCATCACACGCTTTCCTTGCCACGCACCACATGCCATAAGCAGAAGACACGACCAGTTTGCAACCACAGTGCTCCAAATCCCAAATTTCATACCTTTTTTTAAATTATTATTATTTATTATTACTTGCACCTCCGTCACTCGCGTTTCCCAAGGGAAACCGCAGCCGCGTTAACGGCACCAAATAAACGCCAGGGCTTCGCCGGGGACAGGGACTGTCGCAGAGGGTGCACAGCTCTGCTGCCCATCGCCCCCTGCCCTGCCGGGGTCGCGGGCCCTGTCGCTGGCCAGGGCCGCCAGCGCGGAGCAGCGCGGAGCGACGCGAAGCCCTGTCCTCGGCAACTGCGGCTACGACCATACAAAGTAAAACTCTACCTGGCACGGATGGTGGATCTCTCCTCCTATTTGGCGGGCGCCACCGCTTCTCTTTGGAGCTGTGACCGGCTGCAGAGAGCGTCCGAAACGGGGCTACACCGCGCTGGCAATTTAAGAAATAGGATTCAAGAAAGAGCTGTGATAAAACGTGAATGTCTCTGGCATTCGACTGTTTTTGTTTGTTTGTTCGTTTTTTGTTGTTTCTTACCTCTGCCCGGCCTAG